GTGGTTTATTGCCACACACACTCATGGCGACACTCCTCTCCACCCAGACATTTGAGGCAGATAGCAGTCCCTCCAATCCTGAGGCTTTGACTTTCCAAAATTGAGTTCTTTTTGAAGATGCTACTTGCTTATGAGGAAGCAGATGGCCAAAATGTTTAAGTAAAAAAAAAAACAACCCTTACTTCAGTAAACTGCTGTCTTTATTTTACGTTATTCGTCTCAAGGTTATTATGGATAAATAAAACTAAACTAAAAAAAAACTGTTCAAAAGGTTCAGTGTTTTGATTTTAATAACTGTACTGTGACTCCTACATCTGGCATATGCCCTAAATATAATAGTAGTACTACATTAACTGCATAAACTGCATTAAAACAAGCAAGCCCCTCTGGAAACTAACTGAAAACAAAGTAATTCCCAAAAAAAAAAAAAAAAAGCTACAAATACAGGCAGAAGAAGATGGATGGATCATTGCTTTTAATTGTGATATCCACTTTTAACCACAAGGTGGAGCAACTTACAAACAGATAGTCGCCCTCTGGACAAACAACAATCCTAAACTAATTTCACGGTTAAGGACTCAGACTTGGTCCGCTTGCCATGTAAATGCAGACAAATATATTACTTCACAACAAACAGTTTTCTTCACTAAGAGTTTTGTGAATTTGGTCGATTATTAAACCACTAACAGTTTGCTGAACAATTTGAACACAAATATTAAATGCATTATTACATTTATTTTTTAATTTTAGCTGAGGCATACATATTTCTATCCTCTACCAAAATGTTTTTCTTGTTAGTAGGTTTACTGCCCAGTTATGCTAAATGTTTGTACTGCAGAAATCACTGGGTGCTCTTCATAAAATTTGAAGCATCTCGACCTAAATAAATGCCCTGAGATGGCGTGTGTTGTTCTAAATTAAATTCTGCTGAACTGAATCTTTTGTTTTCTTTAAAGATTTCTTGTTATTCTTGCAAAAAAAAAAACAAAAAACCAAGAGTCATGTTGAACAGGATATTTCCATTACCCCAGAAAACCTTGTCCCTGTTTTTATTAGTGATCATGTTGTCTTGTTGCATCATTTCTCAATGTTGGAAGTTGGTTTCTCCTGTGAGCACCTCATCTGGGCAAAGTACACAGTGGGGGGTGTACTATGTATTCACTTGGATGCGTTAGTGAGTGTATACAGAGGTTTCAGGTTATGTTCCCATGGAAACAGAGAGGTGTCTTACAGTGTGCCTTGGCTTCGACGGTGTGTGTCTCTGTGTTTAAGTGTGTGTCTGACCAATTATCCCAGTAAGCGAGAGTAATCTTCTCTTGGGGAGGTTTACATTATCACCTTGACAGCCAGGTGGTCATTGGTCAAGCCGATTGCTACAGCTCTATACCATACACAAAATCAGAGGGAGGGGCAAGAGGGAAGATCGAATGAGACAAGATAAGAAGCGGACTAACCGACAAACACTGAAGCAGGATAGATGAGAGAGGGAGGGGGGATAGGCAGGGGAATGGAAAGGGGAGATAAAAGCCAGATTATGTCAACAAACTGCTGAGATTTATGCGAAGCACTGATAGCCTGTTACCTAACATTACGGTAAATGGGAGTTGGCTTTGGATTATTTGGCCAAAAAGCTAATAGAAGGCTACAGAAACCCTGTGGTTTCATAAAAACAAAAACAAGTTCGACATATTTTATAAATCTATAAAAGATAACATCAATATCAGCTCACAACCCCAGTCTCTGAATGTCTCTGATGAGATCAGAATAACAACATATTCATCTGAAAGCAGCATATGTTTAAAGATATAATTGTAAGTCTATTTTTATATTTATAGTGAAATTAATACTATTTTTATAGCACCAATTCACAACAACAGTCACATCAAAATGCT